ATTGTTCCCACTTGGAGAATAATATATATTTTTTTGGATAGGAGCATGGTTACATCGACGCCAAACCGAAGGGAAAGTGCCTTGCATTAGAATAAGGGCAATTTAGATGTTTCTTTTTTATTATTGCTTAGTATAAATAAGACTGATATGCTTAGTGTTAGGATTACGCATGAGATTGGGTCATATATCTTAGGGTTAGGGCATTAGAGAGATTTCATACCTCTCGAATTATAGGACTTGGGAGAGACCACCTACCTCTTAAATTGTATTTATTTATCCTTTATATGTTGTGTTCTTTTGTGTTATTGAAGAAAGCAATTTGTTTTGCTCTAATTTTTGTGTCAAAAAATCGTCTTAGATCCTATCAGCTGCCAACAGAGAGATAGATTTCACCATTGAATTACATTCAAATTCAGAGATAGTATCGTATCAAATGAGAGTTACCGAATTACACAAATTGAAGATTGAATTGCAGTCAGAGCTAATACATTACTTTTGAGAGCTAATACATTACTTTTGAGAGCTCCAGTATTAGTTGCAAGGAGAAAAAAATAATAATTTCAAGATGTGTACTGACTACATTGAATGGAATAAACATATTATTAAAAAATGTATCCACTGTTGAGAATTAATGATCTTTTTATTAATAAGAAGGGACGTCCATATTTTTGAAAATTATTCTACCATCAGCCGTCATTAGATGAAAGTTCAAAAAGAAGACATAACAAAGATAACATTCAGAATTTTATAGGTATATTATAAATTTATGATAATATTATTTAGATTGATAAATGCTCCAGAAGATTTTATGGATATAATGAACAAAACCATTCTGCAGCTTTTTGGATATATTTATGATATTATTCATTAAAAGTATTATGATTTATTCAAAAAATGTAAACAACCTTTCATACAATATACATATATTATTTTATAAGTTTTTTTAAAAAATAAGCTATATGCAAAACTATTTAAATGTGAATTTTAACTAAGAAGCGTAATATTTTTTTAGCATGTGATCAGTGAAGAGGTTATATTAGTAAATTAGAAAAAAAAATAAAGGTAATTGAAGAATGGCCAATGCCAATTATAATTACAATAGAGGAGTTTTAGAAGCCTTATTGGTTATTATAAGAGATTTGTTGAAACTTGAAGAATTTTCAAAACTTATTATGTTGTTATCAAGGTTAACTAAAAAAGACAATAAAATTTGTATGCATAGATCATTGTGATGAGGTACTCTAGAAACTTAAAGCAAACTTAATGACTGCTCCAATTTAGACTATTTTCTAAGAACTAGATGTATTTCAAATTTAAAGAGATGCATCATTAAGGGGATTATGATGTGTCATTATGCACATGTAAAATGTCATTGTTTATGCGTCCGAGCAATTAAAGAATCATGAGAGAAATTACCCCAAAAATGTATAGAGTTGACAAAAGCTGTTGTTGCACTAAAAAGTCAGATGCAAGGCTTTTATTGATCACTAGAGTTTAAAATAAAAATTTAAGCAAAAAGAATTGAATCTAAGACAGAGAAGATGACTCGAATGTATAAAGGATTGTGATTTTGATATGCAGTATCATTTAGAAAAGATCAATGTTGTTGAAGAGTTGAGTAAAGAACATTTTATAAATTAGTAAACAGAAAAAGATATAAAGTTAAAGTTTAAATAGTAAAACAAGGGAAAATTAAATATAAATTTTCAAAGATCGTCAACACGAACATTTACCATGTAATTATATATTCATGTGTTAAAAAAAGAAAGGTGGGGTCTAAAGATTAAGTGATAATGAAATTCTTCAAAGGTTGAGATGGGTAATAACATTTCTACTTGTACTAAATAGAATTAACTCAAGTATAAAAGCATCTATTAAATTAACTAGAATCATAATTGAATATTTAAAATTACTGCATGCATTAAAAATAATTATCGAACATTCAAATTCAATACAATCATCTAAACAGTGTAAGATATTTTTAACAATATCCATGCATTTCATTCACAGCCAAAAATTATATGTATGTTTTAATTAATTGAAATAAAGTAAATAAAAATCAAACAAATTAAATGTACAAGTCAATCACAAGAATTATCCCTTTATGATCTTAGTTGTGAATGCTATTATATTTTTGCATGAAAACGAGAATGAAAAAATTTAGCAAAGAAAGTGAAAATAAATGTACCTTAATTGGAACAAAATTTTAATGGTACACCTGAGATGACTTCTTAAATGAAATATAATTAAATTTTCTATAATAGATTATAATTTTACATATATAAATAATTGAGAGCTTGAATAAAATTAATTTTTAATGATTAATTGTCATTAATTTCATTCTTGTTAAAGCATTTTGCAAAAAAAAAAAAGAATAGTATACAATAAAACAGCATTTATTCACTAAGTTGTATAACTTATTGTTTAACTACTTATTATAGTATAAAGTCTTTTGAGATAAAATGACTGACAAGAGAGAATGCCCACAGAATAAGATGAGCAAATGAAAATAAATATCAGACAGTATTATTTATGTATTTAAGTATCTTTCTTTATAAATATTGTTGCAAATTGGATACCATCATGTGTTTGAATGATGTATGTGAACATTTGTGATTTAGTGGCTCAATACAATTCAAATGATTGTTTTAGTGGATTATTGTAAATATTAGAATGATATGACACTACAGTTTGGCCTTCAATTCCAACCTTAGTAATTTCAAGCTCATAGGCCGAATGACGACATATTAAAGCATTTCTATTTTATTATTATTTGAATATTCAACTTTAAAACTGAAAGTTATATCATCATCATTCATCTAATAAATCTAACATACTTGAACCCATCAAACATAGGTAAGACTTTCTTTAATAATTTCAATTAATAATTATTAATATCACACTCATTAAACTTATAGCATAATACATCTTTGTTCTACTAATCATTGCCCTTCTTGTCGAAATATTTTCACTATAGTTCCAATTTATATCTTATCTCAACAAATGTCCCATACTTGAAACAATTCACATGTAACAGGAAATCATTAAGACAACCCAATTGTAACATCTTTTTAAGCATCTTCAATGACAATACAAGATAACATTGTTCCTACCCTAATCTTACAAAGAAAATTAGGTAAAACACGCATTTCTATGATCATCCGCCGCTACCCTATTCATAGCTATAATTTATACCATCTTAGGAAGAAGTAAAAATGAGTTAAGCATGTCTATGTCGATCTCCATTTAATCCCAACCCTTACTTTACTAGCGACTAAAAGAGAAGGAAAAACAAAAAGTAAGATGAACATAACTGAAAAAGAAATAGCTCGAACAGAATCAGCATCAAATAATGCTCTTAGCAAGAATGAATAAAGTATAACTTAATACTGAATTATTAAATTTTAATCAGATAAGACATACACTCTATCCTTCTATTCTGGCAGTAACGATGTTATTAAATGTATTATACTAGAATGTTAGTTTTAAAGGAAAAATTTCACAAAACAAAAGAATATTATTTAATATGAAAAATCCAACATATGTTTCTTTGATGAATCTTTTTAATAAGAGAAAGGGACAGAGAAACATAAAAATCACAAAATTGTTATAAGTCTGACCCCAAATAATCTGAAGGAGGCTAATGATGATGATAAAGCCAAACTCAACTAGTTATTGGCGATCACCAAGAAATTTACAGGTATTTCTAAGGCACCATAAAAAATACCACAAAAATAAAAGAAAAGACAGCCTGATTCCTGCCATTGAGAATCATACATAGCAAAAAGTAATAAATAGATCATATTGATTGGTGAATGGTTAATGCAAGACATGACAAGCTTAGTTTTAAATGGGGCAAAACATGGCTAATATAACAAGAATTCAACCTGAAGAGCTAGTTCATTCAAAAGCTTGAAAGGAGTATTTGTGGGTAAAAATGTTGGTCTGGTTCAATCCAAGCAAGAAATTAGTTACTAAAAAGCATCAATGACAAAAACGAGCAGTAACACTTATCTTGGACCTAACCTGATTTCCAAGAGCGATCTAAGGACCAACTGCATCACTTAATTTTCTGGTCAAGAATACTAGTTATACAAGGAATGACCTTCTCCTTACAGATTTCAAGGTTCTATGAAAATTCTACCAATTTACGAATTACAAGGGTATTATGAATGATTCTAAACCCTTACATATTTATCAACAATTATCAAGGAAGCAAGCCAATTGAATGCTTGAAAAATCAGGCATGACAAGGTAAAACATTTTCCACAAAAGAAAACATTTTTAATAATACATGTATATTTCTAGTACTCTGATCAGCAAAAACTAGGATGATGGGAAATAGAAACTTAAGAAAGTATTTCATAGCTTAATTTATTCGGATAGTGACAGTAGAATAATACAGCGCCAAATGATGGATTAAAAATGCATAAACTTAGAACAAACATCAGGACTAATAAGCTGAAACAGGACTAAGTACAACCCTAGCCAAGGTGAATTTGTTCCACTCATCTGTACAGTGCGCTTTTTAGAAGACCTGCAGGAAGTGGCTTCCCAGTCCCATATAAAATAAATAAATCCACTTCCTGGTAGTCGGCCATCCAATTCTTGTCAGACACGGTGGGGGAAACGGCACAGCATACCGCTGCACTCATTACAGTGTTGCGGAGCAAAGGAATTATAAAAAACATTGAATTACATATTCGGCATTTCTAATAATATGCAACAGGCTGTGTTCAACTGATCTGCTCCCTGTACTCTGCATTTGGCCAAGCATTAAATATTCTGTTTTCTTATGGTTTTTACTTAGCATGGTATAACGATAAGATTAAATTAGATTCATTATAATAAAAGTTTTAAAGATGATTTTACAAATTAAAATCATCTAGATTAACAGGAAATATGCACATGAGAACATTCTCAAAATAAAACAAGAGAAGAGAAGCTTAGATTGGAAAATTAATCTTTGGTCATGAACATGAACAGGCAAAAATTACTACCTAATATTGAAGAAAGGCTTCTTAATATGCTTTTCCAAAAGCTTTCTAGCATGCTCCTGGACCTAAAGACAAGAAAAGATATACTCCTAATGAACGAAGAAACTAGTGAACTGTTTGATTGCAATAAGAAATTCCTTCATATTACCTTATTTTCCATAGAGCAAAGAGCAAAAGTCCAGCCATAACTTTCATTGATATTGCACTCTTTCCAGAATTAGGAACACCTGTAATCACAGTCAACTCTCCAGGAACAACCTGCCCAATATGGTTAACAATCATATAGTAAGAGAATAAATCATTAACCATGAATAGCCTCCCTATGTTACCGTCAACAAAAAGACTAATACTTCACATGACTTGAAAAACCATCAATGGAGTATATAGGAAACAATTAACCTCATGAGTCCATAGTGTGATTAAGCTTAATTTTGATAGTAACGAACATTGGAGGTATTAAATGATTTATCAAGAAGTAAAAGGCTTGAGAAGTTTCAAGGATAAGGGTGATGAAAAAAACCAAAAAGAAGAATGTTTTTTAAAAATTAAAAAAAAAACAGAAGAATGTTGATTCAGTAAGCATGGGAAAAAGGAGCGTATAAATTGAAGACTCAAATGCTCCAATGAAAATCATACTGTATTGAGTCATGTAGGATGCAGTTTAGATGTAATTTTTTTCACTATTCTTTAAATACAAAATAATTATACTCCATAGCTCATTAGAAAGGCCTTGCATGACAAACCCATTAGAACATTCATGTAGGTTTCTACACCTAGCCCATAAAAGGCTGAATTATACCATAGGCTGCCCTGCCTCCTCCAGTTATGATTCCCGCATACGCGGGATGTCGTACGCGATCCGGCCGGATTGTAGCAGGGTTTTCCCATTCGAAAAGCTTCCACCAACCTTTGTGGGGCATTTTTTTTAATTAGAATGAGAGGTATTCGTACATGGGAGACTATTTATAGGTTGTATTTCTTTTGCTTGAAGACATTTTCTTTATTATGTGTATTTTGGAAATTATATTCTCTTATTTCTGCCTTTAGGAGTTATCATCTTGCTTTTGCATGTAGAGTGTTTGTAGCTTGTTAAGGAACATGTGGTGAATCTTCAACCATGCCTTGTTGAAGCTGGTCTTTCACGGTTCTCTCCGCTATTTTCAGCCCAAATGACCACCGAATGCATATATCCCCATTCAAATGCCGTAGAACTCTCATATTATCATTCCCTTGCTATTCCACAATCACTTGCCCATTAAATTCACCCTATAAATACCTTCTAGAAACATTTTTAGGAACTTGTCTCCCTTGCCCCCGAACAAAAAAATCCACATACTCTTAACAAGAACATTCACCCAAAAAAAAAAAATCCCTACATCACCCACCTAGCCCTAACCCTAAACTACAATCTTTTTTTCAACCAAAATTTTAATTGTTGGTAAAGAAGTCATGATGCCAAGGAGAAACCTTCAACGAGATATTCAAAAACTTATAATGAAAGATATACAAAGAAAAATCTTGCAACTACAATAAAGGTTTGCCATTTTTTAGATGAAATAACACGGATTGTATGATGTGAAGCTTGCTTGTGTCGATCAACTCTCAATTGAGAGCCACAATAATATTTGTGTATGGCTCTGATATCATTTAGTATCAGAATTAGTCGAACCCTAATCCTATCCTTAAGTTCTCTAGTGCCCGCCTTACCACCAAACCGGAAAATTTTCTTTCCTACCCTAAACCACTCATTCCAAAACCAAACCCTAAAATCTCTTTACTGATTTTCAAAATCAGTAATCCCAAATCGTATTTTATACACCTTCAATGTCTCATGCACCATATTTCACCTCCAAAACCTAATTCTTAGTCATGTCACTAATGAGATACAAGCCCGAGCCTACCCAAAAAGAGATACGACGAGAGATATGCCGACTTTAGCAGTGGATTACGAACATTCAAGATAAAATTCAAATGAAGGCTACCCTCGACCGTGATCTGAAAGGTCGAAGTGGGGAATGAGAAAATATGAATATGAAGAGAGAAACACAGTGTCAATTTCTACCAACTTATTACCGCCAAAATTTACATATCCTAGCATCATAAATGGAGAGACCGCATCACCGAGCGACCCCTCTGTCTACTATCCAACAAAAATCAAGCTGAAAGGCTGTCACAACCATGAAGTGTCACAAGTGTCACGGATTCGGACATGTGGAAACATAATACACAACCATGGGAGTGATTTATTTTACTGAATAGGGTGTTGTTAAAACATGGGATAAGAATACCACAGACATTGAAAAAGGTAAGAACATCATCAGGGAATACTAGCTTCCAGTTGAGAAGAAGAACGGCGATCATACAGAAGATGAAGAACTCTGAGAGGATTCTCCACTTGTAGCTAACGAAGAAGAGATGCCACCAAATTTAGTTGGCCCCGAGATAGAGATTCTAGGAAAGGTAATAGTGGCTGCTCTAGAATGTAGTGACTCTGAGGTAATAGGCAACCTAGCAGAGCATAAGATTATGGTGTCTCGAGCAAACATCTTCCAAAAGGTGAGAGGAACATCAACTAAAATCATCATGGATGAATACAAGGATTATGAGTTCGATGAGCCGACATCAGATACAGATCCACAGATAAGCGAGATGCAAATTTTTCAGATGTATAGATCTCCTCATGAGTTGCCCCAACGGAGGGAGGTCCAACATGACAAAATAATTTCATTGTGTGACATGTCGAGAACATTATATGGAGATATTCAGAGATTACTTTCAGGGCAGCAGAGGACGCCTCGTCATATGTCCAGACGGGAGAGATGAACCCCAAATTTGTAATGAACCCAAGGAGCTTGATGGAAACAAAAATTCTACAATGAGATCTAGATCTTATCTGTAAGGAGGAGGTCACTCCTGAGGGGGTGTCAGTCGCAGCTTGCCACAAATTTCATCCCAGAATTGAGTTCTCCTCACATACTTATTAATCAAGTACCGCACGCTAGGCACAAGAAGCTGAAGGAGAAGATTTCAAATGTAAAGGCTCGAGAGTTGCATTGCGAGAACCCACATCTATATGCAGCTTCTGCTCAGAATATGCTAAAAGAGGATGACTACCTATTCTATCAGAATGTGTTGTGAAATGACAATATCGACATGACCGACCAACTAGAGGATTTACCGTCGTACCATATGGATCCAGGAGCTTCGAAAAATGAGATCGAAGCTCCCCCAACCCCAGAAGAATGTCAAGGGGGTTTTCTCCCAAAAGCCAAACTGGTTTGTCCCAAACCGGTTAAGTTGAGATAGTGGGCTGACCCGGCCCCCACTATTCAATAGGCGAGAAATTTCCCCCTTTCTATTTTTGTTTCCCGCCTATTTATTTCCTATTTATATATGTGTCTGTTGTCTAGGTTTTCAATTTACGTTATTTCTTATTTCATATTTTTGAAGACAGCCGCCAGCATCCCAATTTCCCAATGAGGGTTGTTTCTGACAGTTAGAGTGGTGTTTCAGGTGTATCCCTATCCCCAATGGTGATTTATCTTCTCCTACTTCCACTTCCACCTCCCCTCTTCACCGTATGTTGGTTCTCCCTGCACCCCCAAGCATCCAGCCACGAACAGCCCAGAATTTTCCCTTGCAACCAGCTTTTCCTCCGCTTTTATGAACTCCACCGCAGCCAGCTTCTCCCTCCCCTCCACCCTCCCATGAACCCAACCACTGCCTTCCCCCTATTCCCATAACACCCTCCCAGATCTTGTTATTCCTTCACTTGTGAGACCTAGCTACCATTAATCCTTGCCCTCCCATAAAAACCAGTCGCACTCCTTCATATCCATCCAACTGCTAGCGACACTTCCACATTGAGCGCCTGATGCTCCCTCACATCCCACCAACGACCCCCACATGAAACAGTCAAACCCATCTATGTCTGCCACCTGTCCATCCCACAACATCCCCACCTCCCCACAGCCACCTTTACTAGTTGTTCCACCACACCTTCCTTTTCCTTGCTGCAATCTCACAGTTGTCCCTCCCCTCACAGCTGCGCCTGCTGCAACCCACTATCTCCCCCAAACAACCAACAACCAAATGGCAGCCCTTCCCAGATTCCTTTTCCACTACATCCCAATAGCACCCTTTCCACAATTCCTTCCCCACTACAGCCTAACTCCAACACCTCAAGAGCAGCCCTTCACCCTTAGTCATCCCCTTATTTACTGCTTTGCATAGCTATCTATGTAATATCTGAGTTTCAACAATAATATTTGTATATGGTTTGAGTTAACACTGGTATCACAAACTGATCCACGTAGGACTTGAAGATTAAATCCATCAAGTTCATAAATACAGCAAAAGCATTGGTTAAGCCAAAATCATAATTAAGAGTTCAAAATGATCATATATGGTCCCAAAATATTAGTTATATCTTCTTGCTTGACCCTGACTTCATGATATCCCGATCTCAAATCAACTCGAAAAAATACAATAACAACTTTTAACTGATCAAATAAATCATCGATCCTGGGCAAAGAATATTTGTTCTTGATTGTCACCTTATTCAGCTCTCTGTAACCAATACATAGCCGCATCGATCCATATTTCTTCTTGAAAAACAATATTGGAGCACTCCATGGTGAATTGTTTAGCCTGATAAAACCTTTATCTATCAACTCCTATAATTGTCATTTCAATTCTTGTAATTTTATTCATTCTATAAGGAGGCTTGAAATATAAAAACGTCTCTGGTTGGACATTAATGTCATACTCAACTTCTCTTTCTAATGATAGCTCTGACAATTCTTCAGGAAAAACATCAGAGAATTCTACAACATCCTGAATGCTTTTCAATTACTACATTTCTTTGTTTAACACTTCTAATTTGGCCAGAAACACTAATTCACCACTTTGTTAATATTTTTCAACTTTCACTACACTAATCAGAAAAGATAGTGTATTTCGATCACATAGAATATAGAATGACATTTCACCAGGACAATTAAATTTCACACTCCTTTTCCAACATTAAATTGTAGACAAATTCTTTACCAACCAATTCATTCCATTATGACATCAAAAGTCTAAATTGGCATTACAATCGGCTTTGCTTGCAGCCTATTGTCATGAATATTAATGCATACAACACACTATCTATTTGCATAAACAACACTTCCCGAAGGCACCACCACAAACAAGGAGGGAGTAAAATATATAATATCAATACGTAAATTAACAACAGACTCATCAGAAATAAAAAA